ATATGGAAATTTGAAATGAAAATGGTTTAGAAAGTGTTGGTATCGGGCCCATATTTTGGTTCCGGTGCCCGGTACAGGTCTCATATGTGGTTTAAGCGCTTCCTGTGAAATTTGGTTGAAATCGGACGTCATTTGACGTGTTTCGGACCTAAATATCTAAAAATGAAAGTTTATGAAGTTGGATGAAAAAGTGATGATTTTGAGGTTTGATTCCTCGTTTTTGATGTTATTTTGGTGATTTGATCGCACGGTTAAGTTCGTAGGGTGTTGTTGAATTAGTGTACGTGTTTGGTTAGGAGCCCCGAGGGCTCGGGAGTGTTTTCGGGGGTGTTCGGGGTGGTTGAACTTAGAGAAAAATTGCAGAAAATCACTGCTGCTGCACCAGTTCTGGTGTAACCGCACCTGCGGTCCTTTGGCCGCAGATGCGGACCCGCAGGTGCGAACAGCGGGTCGCAGATGCGGTCTCCTTCGCAGATGCGGATTCCTACCCCGCAGATGCGGTCCGCAGAAGCGGATCTTTTCTTCGCAGGTGCGGCTCCAGCGGGGCCTAGCCATTTCCGCAGAAGCGCCCATTTTTTCCGCACGTGCGGTGGCGCAGGTGCGACCCCTGTACTGAGATGCGGAAGTCGGGCAGTGAGTTTTTTTTTAAAAACATAACTTCAGCGATTTTCTTTCAAACTTTCTCAACAATTAGAAGACTAGGGCGATTTTCTCAAGAGATTTTCTTCTCAAATCACAAGTAAGCATTTACTAACTGATTTCTTTCCATTATCTAGTGTTTTCATCAACTTTTATCAATAATCTTAGGGTTTTAATGGTAGAAAATTAGGGAAATGGATAGAGTTAGGGTTTTTTTCCGATTTTCTTTGATTTAGACCTCGTTTTGGGGTCGAATTTGAAAACAAATTGTATATCCCGGCTCGTGGGGGAATGGGTAACATGAAATTGGTTCGAACCTCGGGTTTTGACCATGCGGGCCCGGGGTCGATTTTTGGGATTTTAGGAAGAAAGCTTAGAAATCTATATTTAGGCTTTGGGTTTAGTTTGTTTAGCTATTATTGATATTATAAAGTTATTATTTCGTAGATTTGACTGAGTTGGAGCCGAATTCGAGGGGTAAAGCTATACTAGAGGCTTGAGTTGAGTTTGGAGCATTCGAGGTAAGTGTTTGATCTAACTTTGGCTTGAGGGAATAGGATTAGAGTATTATTTGCTAGTTGCTAAATGTGGAGTACGGTGTATAGGCATGGTGACGAGTATCTATACACCGGTGTCTAGCATGACCGTGAGTCCTTATTTGTGCTTATTTGGGATTCTGTAGTGACTCTTCCTTGTTTAATTGATGGTTGCTATATAATGAGAACAATATGAAGAGGAAATATGACTTGTAAACTCCTTGGAGCGTTGGCTCGAATTATGACGTGGTTAGGAAGTAAGAAATGAACGAAGGAGGAAGAGATGTAATTATTCCCTTGCCGGAACGTGTAAGTTATTGTCGTTGCTCCCTTGCCGGGATCTAGCTGTTTACTTGTATTCTCCCTCGCCGGGATAGTTGAATTGATACCTGTTCCCTTGCCGGGAAACCATATACGTATTATGAGAAGGGATCGTGTGGCACGCCGACCACATTATATATTATGAAATGGGATCGTGTGGCACGCCGACCACATTATATATTATGAAATGGGATCGTGTGGCACGCCGACCACTTATATATTATGAAATGGGATCGTCTGGCATGCCGACCACTTATATATTATGAAATGGGATCGTGTGGCATGCCGACCACTTATATATCATGAAATGGGATCGTGTGGCACGCGGACCACGTATTCTGTGTTAGAAGAGATTAGTTTTAATTTTCCTTATTTATTCCTACTGTTCTATTTTATATGTTATCCCCAAAATCATGTTCCCCTCCCAGTCTTAATTATTACCTTCCGGTGTTATCTTTGTAGTGTTTGTATATACATATCTGCACAGGTTGATTGGTAGTCCTGTCTAGCCTCGTCGCTACTTCGCCGGGGTTAGGCCAGGCACTTACCAGCACATGGGATCGGTTGTGCTAATGCTCCACTCTGTGCTTATTTTTGCACAGATCACAGTACCGGAGCAGGAGCTTTTGGACAGCAGCAGGAGTATTGGGAGCTGACTTCAGTCCAGAGATTCCCGAGGTAGCCTTGCTGACGTCCGCATGGCCCGGAGTCTCTCTTATCCTTGTTTTTCATTTGATTTCCTTTGTATCGGATCAGACAGTACTGTGTTTTTATTCAGACTTTGTATTTAGCATTCTGTAGAAGTTCGTGAGTTAGTGTCACCAGACCTGGATAGAGATATATTTGAGCTTCCGCACTTGGTTTCAGTTATTTATGTTTTGAGACTTCCGCTTTTATATTAATTGTCTCGTCTTTCTTTATATTGTTGATGTTGTCAAGAGAGGTATTAGATTAATTGGCTTGCCTAGCTCCTATTAGTAGGCGTCATCACGACTCCCGAAGGTGGGAAATCCGGGTCGTGACAAGTTGGTATCAGAGCACTAGGTTACATTAGTCTCACAACTCACGGACAAACTCAATAGAGTCTGAGGGATCGATACAGAGACGTCTGTATTTATCCCCCAGAGGCTACAGAGTTAGGAAAACTTCACTTTTGTTCTTTCTTGTTGTGCGATTCTGTTTCTCAAATACTGATTGTCTTTCTACTCTGTTCTTTCGCAGATGGCGAGAACACGTGCTTCCTCTTCTACCGCGCAGCAGCTCCTACGAGGGGCAGAGGGCGAGGCCGAGGCCGTGCCAGAGGCCGAGGCAGGGGTAGAGCTTAGCCCCGAGCAGCAGTCCCAGAGGTGGAGCCTCATGTTGATTATGATGAGGAGGTTCCAGCCCCAGCAGCTCCGGTGGGCCCAGCTCAGGTCCCAGAGGGGTTTATAGCCACCCCAGTTCTTCAGGACGCTTTGGTCAGGTTGGTAGGCTTTATGAAGAGCGTCTCTCGAGCGGGTTTGCTTCCAGTAGCACCAGCCACTTCTCAGGCTGGAGGAGGGGTTCAGACTCCTGCTACACGCACTCCGGAGCAGGTAGCTCTCCAGACTCAGGTTCCAGTGGCTCAGCCAGCTGTGGCAGTTCAGCCGGGTATTGTGACTCAGACCGGCGATGGGGCGGCTATGTCCGCAGATGCTTTGTGGAGACTGGATAGGTTCACCAAGCTCTTCACCACCACATTCAGCGGTGCTTCTTCAGAGGACCCCCAGGATTTCTTATATAGCTGCCATGAGGTTCTTCGGACTATGGGTATTGTGGAGGCCAATGGGGTCGACTTCGCCGCCTTTCGACTAGCAGGATCCGCCAGGACTTGGTGGAGGGACTATTGTTTATCCAGACCAGCAGGATCGCCAACATTGACTTGGGACCAGTTTGCAGAGTTATTTTGGAGAAGTTTTTCCCAGTTACTCAGCGAGAGGCTCTTCGCAGGCAGTTCGAGCGCCTCCAGCAGGGCTCTATGACAGTCATGCAGTATGAGACCCGGTTCATTAATCTAGCTCACCATGCTATTGTTATACTCCCCACCGAGAGAGAGAGGGTGCGAAGGTTTATTGATGGGTTGATTCAGCCGATCCGTCTCCAGATGGCTATGGGAGCCGGGAGTGAGATTTCTTTTCAAGAGGCGGCCAATGCGGCCCGTAGAGTTAAGATGGCTCTTGCACGAGGAGGTGGTCATGGGTCAGATAAGAGGCCCCGTCATGCAGGTAGATTCGGTGGTACCACGTCTGGAGGTGAGGATTCTTATGGTAGAGGCCATCCTCCGAGGCCCTTTCAGTCAGCCCTATAGGTCTCACATGGTACTTCAGGTGGTCGTGGCTCTCAGCCGCAGTCTTCTGACCAGCAGCTTTTCAGTTCACCATCAGCACCTATCAGCGCACCACCACTCCGTTATTCTCAGCAGCCGAGGGCTTGTTACACGTGTGGCGACACGAGACATATTGCCAGGTATTGCCCTCGAGCTTCTGACAGCTCCCAGCGCAGGGTCCTCGTCCTATAATTCAGGCATCAGGTGATCCACAGGCCGCCCAGCCAGCTAGAGGCGGGGGTAGAGGCCATAGAGGTGGAGGCATAGATCATAGAGGTGGAGCTCGGACCGCCAGAGGTAGAGGCCAGCCAGCAGCCGATCGTCCCAAAAATATGGTTCAGGGAGGTAGGGCCCAGCCCCGGTGCTATGCTCTTCCAGCCAGGCTAGAGGCTGAGTCTTCAGATGCAGTCATTACAGGTACTATTCTGGTCTGTGATAAGGATGCTTCAGTGCTATTTGACCCTGGGTCTACGTATTCATATGTGTCGTCCTATTTTGCACCCTACCTGACTATGCCTAGTGATGCTTTGGGTATTCCTGTTTATGTATCTACACCGGTGGGGGATTCTATAGTGGTCGACCGAGTTCATCGTTCCTGTGTGGTAGTGTTTGAGGGTCTTGAGACCCGTGTTGATTTATTGCTCTTAGACATGGTGGATTTCGATGTTATATTAGGGATGGATTGGTTGTCCCCGTATCATGCTATCTTGGATTGTCACGCCAAGACCGTGACCTTGGCTTTGCCAGATTTGCCCCGTTTGGAGTGGAAAGGGACCCCTGGGCACACCACCCGCAGTGTTATTTCATATGTGAAAGCTCGACGTATGGTCGAGAAGGGGTGTTTAGCTTATCTGGCGTATGTTCGCGATTCCAGCGCAGAGGTCCCTTCTATTGATTCTGTTCCTATTGTTCGGGAGTTCCCCGAGGTTTTCCCTTCAGACCTGCCGGGTATGCCGCCCGACAAGGATATTGATTTCTGTATTGATCTGGCTCCGGGCACCCAGCCCATTTCCATTCTGTCGTATCGCATGGCCCCGCCAGAGTTGAAAGAGTTAAAGGATCAGTTGCAGGACTTGTTGGAGAAGGGTTTCATTAGACCCAGTGTTTCTCCTTGGGGTGCGCCGGTGTTATTTGTGAAGAAAAAGGATGGTTCGATGAGGATGTGCATTGATTACCGACAATTGAGCAAAGTGACGATTAAGAACAAGTATCCACTGCCGAGGATTGACGATTTGTTCGACCAGCTTCAGGGTGCAAAGGTGTTTTCAAACATAGACTTGAGATCTGGCTACCATCAGTTGAGGATTAGGGCATCCGATGTCCCTAAGACAGCATTCCGCACTCGGTACGGGCATTATGAGTTCCTGGTCATGTCATTTGGGTTGACCAATGCCCCAGCAGCATTTATGGAGTTGATGAACCGAGTGTTCAGGCCATATTTGGACATGTTCGTGATAGTCTTTATTGATGATATTTTGGTGTACTCCCGCAGCCAGGAGGAGCACGAGCAGCACCTTAGAGTGGTTCTTCAGACTCTGAGGTATAGTCAGTTATATGCCAAGTTCTCCAAGTGTGAGTCCTGGATGAGTTCAGTAGCATTTCTGGGTCACGTTGTATCAGCAGAGGGTATTCAGGTGGACCCAAAGAAGATAGAGGCAGTCAAGAACTGGCCTCGACCAGCATCAGCTACAGAGATTCCGGAGTTTCTTGGGGTTGGCAGGCTACTACCGTCGGTTTGTGGAGGGGTTTTCGTCTATCGCAGCCCCGATGACCAGGTTGACCCAGAAGGGTGCCCAGTTCAGATGGTCGGATGAGTGTGAGGCGAGCTTTCAGAAGCTCAAGACAGCTCTGACTACGGCACCGGTATTGGTTTTGCCCACAGGTTCAGGGCCTTATACAGTCTATTGTGATGCTTCCCGTATTGGGCTTGGTGCAGTATTGATGCAGGATGGCAGAGTCATAGCCTATGCTTCAAGGCAGTTGAAGATCCATGAGAAGAATTATCCGGTTCATGATCTAGAGTTGGCAGCCATTGTTCATGCTTTGAAGATTTGGAGGCATTATCTATATGGTGTGACGTGTGAGGTGTACACTGATCACAAGAGTCTTCAGTACTTGTTCAAGCAAAAGGAGTTGAATTTGAGGCAGAGGAGGTGGTTGGAGTTATTGAAAGATTATGATGTTACTATCTTGTACCACCCGGGGAAGGCCAATGTGGTGGCCGATGCATTGAGTAGGAAGTCCGCCAGCATGGGTAGTCTTGCTTATATTCCGGCCAGCCAGAGGCCGCTTGCTTTGGATGTTTAGTCTTTGGCCAATCGATTTGTGAGGTTGGATATCTCTGAGCCTAGCCGAGTGTTAGCTTGCACGGTTGCTCGTTCTTCATTATTGGAGCGTATCCGTGATCGGCAGTTTGATGATCCCCATTTGTGTGTCCTGAGAGACACGGTGCAGTGTGGAGGTGCCAAGAAGGTGACCTTAGATGATGATGGTGTTTTGAGATTGCAGGGGCGAGTTTATGTGCCCAATGTCGATGGGATTCGAGAGTTGATCTTTGCGGAGGCCCATAGTTCTCGGTATTCTATTCACCCGGGCGCCACGAAGATGTATCAGGATCTGAGGCAACATTATTGGTGGCGTAGGATGAAGAAGGATATTGGTGCATATGTGGCTCGATGTTTGAACTGTCAGCAGGTTAAGTGCGAGCATCAGAGGCCTGGTGGACTGTTTCAGAGGATTGAGCTTCCCGAGTGGAAGTGGGGGAGGGTTACTATGGACTTTGTTACTGGACTCCCGTTGACCCGGAAGAAGTTTGATGCGATTTGGGTCATTGTAGATAGGCTGACCAAGTCAGCGCATTTTGTTCCTGTTGCAACCACTTATTCATCCGAGAGGTTAGCTGAGATCTACATCAGAGAGATTGTTCGCCTTCATGGGATGCCGGTATCTATCATTTCGGACCGGGGTACGCAGTTTACCTCGCGCTTCTGGAGAGCAGTTCAGCGAGAGTTGGGCACCCAGGTTGAGTTGAGCACAGCATTCCATCATCAAACGGACGGACAGTCAGAGCGGACTATTCAGATATTGGAGGACATGCTCCGAGCTTGTGTTATTGACTTTGGAGGTTCGTGGGATCAATTCTTGCCTTTAGCGGAGTTTGCCTACAACAACAACTACCAGTCCAACATTCAGATGGCTCCTTATGATACGTTGTATGGTAGGCGGTGTCGATCTCCGGTTGGGTGGTTTGAGCCGGGAGAGGCTCGGTTATTAGGTACAGATTTAGTTCAGGAGGCCTTGGATAAGGTCAAGATCATTCAGGATAGGCTTCGTTCGGCTCAGTCGCGGCAAAAGAGTTATGCAGATCGTAAGGCTCGAGATGTAGCTTTCATGGTTGGTGAGCGGGTATTGCTCCGAGTGTCGCATATGAAGGGCGTGGTGAGATTTGGGAAGAAGGGCAAGCTTAGCCCTAGGTTCATTGGCCCATTTGAGATTCTCGACTGTGTGGGAGAGGTGGCTTATAGGCTTGCCTTGCCGCCTAGCTTGTCAGCCGTGCATCCAGTTTTTCATGTGTCCATGCTTCGGAGGTATCACGGCGATCCAGCCCACGTATTAGATTTCAGCACTGTCCGGGTGGACAAGGATCTGTCTTATGAGGAGGAGCCGGTAGCTATTCTAGACCGGCAGGTTCGACAGTTGAGGTCGAAGAGTTTTCCTTCAGTGTGTGTCCAGTGGAGAGGTCAGCCTCCTGAGGCATCGACCTGGGAGTCCGAGTCTGATATGCGGAGCCGTTATCCTCATCTATTTCCCGACTCAGGTACTTCTTTCTTTTGTCCGTTCGAGGACGAACGGTTGTTTTAGAGGTGGAGAATGTGACGACCCAAAGGGTCATCACCTGTTTTCTCTTTCATTCCGTGCTTCTGAGGCTTTGAAAACCTTATTTTTACTTGCCTCGATTTGCGTGCACAGTCTGGGCGCGTAGCCGGAAAGCTTAAATATGAATTCTGTGTAAAAATTTATGAATTTTGATATTAATATGAATAAAGTTGACTTTGGTCAACATTTTGGGTAAATGGACCCGGACCCGTGATTGGACGGTCTCGGAGGGTCCGTAGGAAAATATGGGACTCGGGCATATGCCCGGATTCAAAATCCGAGGTCCCGAGCCCGAGAAATGAATTTTTAAAGGAAATTGTTTTTCTGGAATTTATATGGAAATTTGAAATGAAAATGATTTAGAAAGTATTGGTATCGGGCCCGTATTTTGGTTCTGGCGCCCGGTACAGGTCTCATATGTGGTTTAAGCGCTTCCTGTGAAATTTGGTTGAAATCGGACGTCATTTGACGTGTTTCAGACCTAAATATCTAAAAATGAAAATTTATGAAGTTTGATGAAAAAGTGATGATTTTGAGGTTTGATTCCTCGTTTTTGATGTTATTTTGGCGATTTGATCGCACGATTAAGTTCGTAGGGTGTTGTTGAATTAGCGTACGTGTTTGGTTAGGAGCCCCGAGGGCTCGGGAGTGTTTTCGGGGGTGTTCGGGGTGGTTGAACTTAGAGAAAAATTGCAGAAAATCACTGCTGCTGCACCAGTTCTGGTGTAACCGCACCTGCGGTCCTTTGGCCGCAGATGCGGACCCGCAGGTGCGAACAGCGGGTCGCAGATGCGGTCTCCTTCGCAGATGCGGATTCCTACCCCGCAGATGCGGTCCGCAGAAGCGGATCTTTTCTTCGCAGGTGCGGCTCCAGCGGGGCCTAGCCATTTCCGCAGAAGCGCCCATTTTTTCCGCACGTGCGGTGGCGCAGGTGCGACCCCTGTACCGCAGATGCGTAAGTCGGGCAGTGAGTTTTTTTTAAAAAACATAACTTCAGCGATTTTCTTTCAAACTTTCTCAACAATTAGAAGACTAGGGCGATTTTCTCAAGAGATTTTCTTCTCAAATCACAAGTAAGCACTTACTAACTGATTTCTTTCCATTATCTAGTGTTTTCATCAACTTTTATCAATAATCTTAGGGTTTTAATGGTAGAAAATTAGGGAAATGGGTAGAGTTAGGGTTTTTTCCGATTTTCTTTGATTTAGACCTCGTTTTGGGGTCGAATTTGAAAACAAATTGTATATCCGGGCTCGTGGGGGAATGGGTGATGTGAAATTGGTTCGAACCTCGGGTTTTGACCAAGCGGGCCCGGGGTCGATTTTTGGGATTTTGGGAAGAAAGCTTAGAAATCTATATTTAGGCTTTGGGTTTAGTTTGTTTAGCTATTATTGATATTATAAAGTCGTTATTTCATAGATTTGACTGAGTTGGAGCCGAATTCGAGGGGTAAAGCTATACTAGAGGCTTGAGTTGAGTTTGGAGCATTCGAGGTAAGTGTTTGATCTAACTTTGGCTTGAGGGAATAGGATTAGAGTATTATTTGCTAGTTGCTAAATGTGGAGTACGGTGTATAGGCATGGTGACGAGTATCTATACACCGGTGTCTAGCATGACCGTGAGTCCTTATTTGTGCTTATTTGGGATTCTGTAGTGACTCTTCCTTGTTTAATTGATGGTTGCTATATAATGAGAACAGTATGAAGAGGAAATATGCTCCTTGGAGCGTTGGCTCGAATTATAACTTGGTTAGGAAGTAAGAAATGAACGAAGGAGGAAGAGATGTAATTATTCCCTTGCTGGAACGTGTAAGTTATTGTCGTTGCTCCCTTGCCGGGATCTAGCTGTTTACTTGTATTCTCCCTCGCCGGGATAGTTGAATTGATACATGTTCCCTTGCCGGGAAACCATATACGTATTATGAGAAGGGATCGTGTGGCACGCCGACCACATTATATATTATGAAATGGGATCGTGTGGCACGCCGACCACATTATATATTATGAAATGGGATCGTGTGGCATGCCGACCACTTATACATTATGAAATGGAATCGTGTGGCACGCCGACCACTTATATATTATGAAATGGGATCGTGTGGCACGCCGACCACTTATATATCATGAAATGGGATCGTGTGGCACGCCGACCACGTATTCTGTGTTAGAAGAGATTAGTTTTAATTTTCCTTATTTATTCCTACCGTTCTATTTTATATGTTATCCCCAAAAGCATGTTCCCCTCCCAGTCTTAATTATTACCTTCCGGTGTTATCTTTGTAGTGTTTGTATATATATATCTGCACAGGTTGATTGGTAGTCCTGTCTAGCCTCGTCGCTACTTCGCCGGGTTAGGCCAGGCACTTACCAGCACATGGGGTCGGTTGTGCTGATGCTACACTCTGTGCATATTTTTGCACAGATCACAGTACCGGAGCAGGAGCTTTTGGACAGCAGTAGGAGTATTGGGAGCTGACTTCAGTCCAGAGATTCCCGAGGTAGCCTTGCTGACGTCCGCATGGCCCGGAGTCTCTCTTATCCTTGTTTTTCGTTTGATTTCCTTTGTATCGGATCAGACAGTATGTGTTTTTATTCAGACTTTGTATTTAGCATTCTGTAGAAGTTCGTGAGTTAGTGACACTAGACCTGGGTAGAGATGTATTTGAGCTTTCGCACTTGGTTTCAGTTATTTA